TGGATGGCTCAGTAGGTTAAGCGTCTGCCTTCAGCTAGGGTCATGATCTGGGGATCCTGGGATCCAACCCTGCATTGGGGTCCGTGCTCAGTGGGGAGCCTGCTTCTCCCTCTCCCTCTGCGGCTCCCTCTGCTTGTGCTCTCTCTCTCTCTCTTACTCAAATGAGCAAATAAATAAAATCTTAAAAAAAACAAAAACACAAACAAGTAGCCATCAGAGACTAGGGAAACCAGTAGGGTTTTCCAAGTTAGCAAGATGGCCTAAGTCAACAAGAGATGAGTGGAGGCTAATGCAAGGAGGACAAAATGTTTAGTTTCTGTTTCCTGTTTGATCATTTGGTAGTGGTTCTAGGTTATGCATTCACGTGAGAATTGCCTAAATGACTGACTGAGCTGTTCAAGTAAAATAGAAAGCAACTGGCAGAATATGGTTGGAAAGGTATTGGAACTGGCTTTAGGGTTTTTTAACCTCCTTCAGAAGGAATGCTTTGAAGATGTGGAGTGAGTGATGAAAATTAAAACAGGGATGTAAAATGACACAGTTTAGTACCTTCTCCAAAAATTAAACCTGATTACCACGTGATCTAGCAATTCCGCTCTTAAGTATGTACACCAAGGAATTGAAAACTGGTCTCCCCACAACGGTTTGTACGTGAACATCCATATCAACATTCCTCTCGATAGCCAAACTGTGGAAACAGCCCAAATGCCCCTCCACAGGTAACTGGATGAACAAACTGTGGGATAGCAATGCAGGGGAACAGTATCCAGCCACCGGAAGGGGTGAAGGGCTGATACATGTTGTAACACTGATGAACCTCAAACACACTATGCTAAATGAAGGAAGCCAGACACAAAAGGCCACATAGTCTAGGATTTGATTTGTATGAAATGTCTATAAGAGACAAATTCATAGAGGCAGGAAGATGATTAATGGTTGTCAGGGATGGGAGGAAGGAGGGAGGAGAGAGTGCATGCTTAATTTCCTTCAGAGGTGATAAGAATGTTCTGGAACTAGATAGAGGTGGTGTTTGTAAAACATTGTGAATGTGCCAGATGCTACTGAATTGTAGACTTTAAAATGGTTAAAATGATGAATTTTATGGTATCTATATTTTACCCCAGTTAAGACAAACAAACAAGCATGGGATGATCTGAAATTTAGGATATGTGGATGTAAGGGGGAGCTGGGGATACTTGTATATGCATCAGCTGAAACTTGGGGGTCTTAATATAAGAAAATTAGATCTTAAAACATTCAAGAATGATACACTTTGGGTTTTTTCTATTAAAGTCAAATGAAACTAAATTTAATCTTTTATTTAAAAGCCACCTGATTTTTTAAAAATTTTTTATTAACATATAATGTATTATTAGGCCCAAGGTACAGGTCTGTGAATCGTTAGTAAAAGCCACCTGATTTTTTAAAAAGCCATCTGATTTTAAAAATATCTGATTTTACTAAAGCTTTTCTACCCATCTATCTAACCTATTTATCCAACACTTTGTTTACCTAAGTAGACAACCTTCTCTCTGCACATACCTAGAAAAAATTCTGTGCTAATAGTTACCTGATATATATATAATAGGAATTCCTGGTTGGTAGAATTTGGCATGATTAAAAAAAGCTTCCCTCTTATTTTTCTGCATTGTTTGGATCCTTTATATTGAACACACATAAGTTTTAAGAACATCGTTGTGTGATTTTTTTTTCTTAAATCAATTAGCCTACAAGCAAACACAGAAGGTAGAGGCAAATAAGCCAAGCTGTAATGGCAATTAATTCTGAGGAAAATATGGCTGTTATTTCTCTTTCTGTACTTTTATTGGGATACTTTTTCAATCCCCAAAGTAGTATTTTAAAAGTTTATAAAACTTACAAACATTAAATTTCCCAGTGTGAAAGCCACTAGAGGGAGAGTCAACAGAGGTTTGGTTGGGGGTAGGGGTTTCAAGTTCAGATTTGCTTAACTCCAAAACTCAATTCTCAGCCTTGAGTTAACCTTGCCATAAGTGATACAGTTTGTTTTTCCAAAATTCATCCCCAGTGCACCATTCTACCCCCCCCCCCCCCCCCCCCCCAGATTCTAACTACTGATCGAGTCCTACATCTGGCCTTCGAAATTCCAAGACTGCAGAGGAGGGTATTGTCTGTGGTACCTCTCAAGAACATGAAGAACTTGCTTTGTTTCCAGGAAATTATCCACCTACTACCAAAATGCCCACGGATGGAGCATCTGCTGTGTACAGGGCACAAATGAGAGGTGTTTCGCAGAGAATCCGAGTCTGAAGTTATCCAGGAATTAAGATGTCCAATAGCCCACTGCGGAGAGAGTTTTGTGGTAATGAGACATTCGTTTGCTTATTTATCCATCTACTCACTGCTTATTGAGTTCCTGGGAGCTATAAAGGTTGATTACTGATTGTCACAAATGTGCTCCTTAAGACATTTTTGGTTGTAAGAACAGAAACCAACTAAAACTAAGAAGAAAAGGGAAACTTTATGACTGAAATACCAGGTGGTTTTGCAGGTTTCCAAGAGGGAGGACCTTAGGCACCGAACGGCAGCGGGGATGGGCTTTGGAGATTAGGAGCAAATGCTCTGAAGACAGATTGTCAAACAGATTGTTGGAGTCTTTGCTCTGATGTGAACCCTCTGTTCTTGAACAATTTACTTAACCACTCATTGTGCTCATCTATAAAATAACTATCAGAACAAGAATCACCACCCCCACCTATCATAGGTGGTTCTGACACGAAGCAGTAATGGGGGTGAAGGGCAGATCACAGTGCCCGTGACTTAGTAAGCACTCAGTCACTGTTAGTTTTTGAATTCTCTGTCACTGCAGGCTCAGTTTCTTAACTTTCCAGTCTCCATGGTTAAGAATGGCCACTCAATCCCAGCTTCAGGGAACAAATTAACTTGACACTCTCTTGGTTCCAAATTGACATTTTTAGAGAAGAAAATGCTTGGCTTCATGGAATAGACATCCATCCCTGATCAATGAACTGAATCCAGTGGGCAGGGACCTATTAAGTAATCAAGGCTGCCAGGAGCCTAGTTTGTAACCACATGGATGGGTGGGGAGAAGGGGAAAGGTGATGGATACTGGCCAAACTGAGAAGCATACAACACACCAAGGAAACCTCTAAATGTGCTACTTCTTAGTAGTTTTTAATAGGAAAATGGAAAAATGGAAATAAAACAAAACAAAACAAAAAAACCAAAAGAGAAACAAAACCAGAAAGCCAAACAACAAAAAAGAAACAACCCCCCCAGTCTTTATCTGAGATGTCCAAAGAATATTTCTGAATTATCATCTTTCTACTAAAACACAAAACAAAGCAAAGAAAAATAGTGTTCTTAGATTAAACATTTCGTGATGGAGACTTTGCAAATTGCCATGGAGACGATGGAGGAAATTATGCACTGGCTCTTTTTCTCTTCACAGTCTATGCATAGGGATGGACGGAGGTATTAGCCTCAGCTGTTTCCCACGGTGAACTGAAGTGTTTTAACAAAATCTGCCACTCTATCAGCAATAATAGACTTCTCTACATGTTAATGTTAGAATCTTTTCATTGTAATGGATTCAACTTTACTAAACACCAGGCTACATTTTCTTGTCAAGTAAGATGACCTACCCTGTCTAAGCTGTGACTCTCTGATAATCTGGATAATTTTATTCAAGTCTGATTTTTAAATGATGTTTATCTTCTAAACTCATTCCAGCCTCCATTCATAACTAACTAGGTTACAAGTATCTTTTATTTATAAACATTCAGTTATAAGTGGCAGATAATCCATTTAGAGTAGTTTAAATAATAAGGGAAGTTACCAGCTTATTTAACTGCAATGTGTAGTGCGATGTTAGGTTTCAGGTATAGATTGATCCAGAGGCTCAACCATGTCACTAGGAGTCTCTTTCTTTTTGTTTCTCCATACTGTCTTCCCTAACATCAGTTTCATTGAAAGATTGGTGTCTTTTATGAACACCAAAGGTTGGCATCGGGAACGGGGGTGACACTTTTCTGTTTTAACAGACAAGAGAAAGAATTCTTTTGGGAGCTCCCACAGAAAAGAGAGGATTCTTCTTTCTCAGAATTCCTCCAAAAAGCCATCCACTCTGGCTAGAAGGAAACACTGGTTGACATAAACCAGTCAGAGCCTACCCTTGGACTCTAGGAAGAATTTAATCCCAGACAAACCTTATGCCTGAGAAGTGTGAGGTCCTATTAAAAAGGAACAAGGCTTAGAGGGTATGCAGGGGTAACAACCAACAAAGGTTCTCTCCAAAACGTAACTTTTTATTTAGTGGCCCACTCTTCTGTTCCTCCCTAGGTTGGAACACAATATAACCTTTTTGCCAGTTTTTGGTGAGTGTAGCTAAATGTCCGACTTTAGTGCAAGAATAACATCCACCTACTTATTATGGGCTGCCTCAGAAATAAATGAAGAGGGTGGGTTCTAGCTTTTCCTATTGAAGATGTCCATCAGAAAGATGAGATTAGTTCTGATTTATTAAGGAAGTACCCGTATGTTTAATGAAATACTATGTAGATCTATTTTCATATTATGAAGGGGATCATGCTAAGACATCTTGATTTGGGTTTTAAAATAATTCCAGGCTGGCTACCAAGCCCTGTTCCCGTTATGGAGCTACTACTAATAATTTAGACATTGGTGAGTATTAGCTTCATCTCATTGTCTATCAATAGCTAAATTGACGCTTGAATTACTTGAGGTTATATAGTAGTAGGGATGTCCACAAAAAAGAGTGTCGAAGGGTGGGGAAATCATATAATAGAGGAAAAAATCAATTTGGATGAAATTTGGAGACTCTTTAAATCATGTGCTTTACAGACTTCTTTGGCTCCCTTTGATCAAATAAAACAAATTTGAACATCCAGAAGAGCGAGGTTGATAACCAGAGGAAAACATTGTTAGGTCAGATAATTATTCTCTTTATACTGCTTTTCCCTGGTGGCCTGAATACTTACCAATATCTAATACTTTTCCTCTTCCCGGTTTGTCTTGTAAAGGCTTTTGAGATCTTCTCGGCTTAAGTCTCATGGCGTCCAGGGGAAGTCTAAGATCATTCCTGGTAAACTTCACTATTGATATAATGAAGGAAAGCTACTGGCTGTCATTTCTTGAGCAAATTAACAAGGAGCATCATATCACTTTGTTCTGTCTAAAATGTCTCCCCAAGCTTAGTATTTCATTTTTCTGACAGAAAGGAAAAAAAAGGGGGGGGGAAGAAAAGGTTAGAAAAAAATTAAGCAAATAGATAGAACAAGTCATTCTTTGTAGTATGCTTCTTGCAAATCTTTTGTTCTCAGAGTTACCTTTGGTTGCTCTCCTTAAAACTCTATAATTTCTTGTTCAATCACTAAAATACATAGAGTTTTTGAAAATTGTTCTTTTAAAAATTTTTTTCTGTGTTTTTAAATGTGATAATTAAGTGTACCTGTGTAATAAAGAGATGAAAGTTTTTTAATTGTTATAGTTTTATGGATGAAAAGACACAGCCTTTAAATTATCACGTCCTCTTTTATATTAAATTATTTTATCATTATTTTTTTTAAAGATTTTATTTATTTTTCCATTTGAGAGAGAGAGAGAGAGGGAGATCATGACCTGATCAGAAATCAAGAGTCAGACACAATCAGCTGAGCCACCCCGGCGCCCCCTCCTTTATATTAAATTTTATTCTGGAAGTGTTTTATGATCACACAGTAGAATTTGTGTTGCAAACCCAAGTGAGGGCTGGCTTGTAGTTATAAATTCTCAGGGGAATTTTTTTTTTTTCCCCTGCCTTCATCCAGATCTGTTTTATTCTGGTTGCTTTCAGTATACAAGGTTTATTTCTCCTTGCTCCTTGCACTGAGGGTACAACCTGTTTGGGTTTCTAGTTTATGTGAGAACACCAAATTAGCTTCCCTCTACACCCCCAACCCTACCTCTCAGATACCCTCTCTGAGCAGCGGTCAATGTCAAAGTTCAAGGTCTTGAGTCTCAATAGAATGTCTCTCAGGAACCATGCTTTTTTCTTCCTGGCCTCTGGAGAATCCTTCTTTCCAGCTTAGCCCAGAAAAGCACTTAAACAGAAGTTTTTATGTTTTTAATCCAGCTTTTTACTTGTTTCATTCAGCGGTGTTGTTATATCTAAGTGTCTGCCCTGCTGACATGAAAGTACTGAATTGCTTTCTAAAATGGTCTTTCAAAGGTTTGTTTACAAATAATATGACTTGTGGATATGTGAGGTCATATATTCAGGAAGACTTTCTGCATCTATCTTAAATCTCTTTTTCATTTATTTTTAAAAACAATATTGTGGTAGCTGGGTGGCTTAGTCAGTTGGGCATCTGACTCTTATTTTCAACTCAGGTCATGGTTTCAGGGTCGTGAGATCTAGTCCTGCATTGGGCTCTGTGCTCAGCAGGTAGTCTTTCTCTCTTTTTTTCCCTCCCCACCCCCCCGCTTGCACTCTCTCTCTCTTTCTCTTTCACTTTCAAACACACACACACACACACACACACACACACACACACACACAAAACAAACAAAAACAAGAAGCAAAAGCAGTATCAAGTGACCTCCATAATTATCCCAAACCAGCATTGTTGCAGTCAGTTTTGGTTCAATAATTCATTCTCCAAATTAAGATATTTGAGCTCATGTCCTATAATGAGAGACAGAGTAAGGACTCAGATATAAGGCAAATCTCTTCTTTCTGGTGAATAAATGAGAAAAAAAATTATTTTATATTCGTGCATATGTGGTGTTCTCACCCAAACACTCATAAGAATCCTCTACTTTCTATACGGTTCACCCGTGTAGGTCTTCATCTCTACTCAAAGACCTTTAGTTTCTTGAGGCTAGAGACTGTTCTACTTACTCCTGTGTCTCTTAGCCCCGGCATCATCGCTGGGCTTTGCATCTAGCCAGCTCAGGAAATGATTGAATAAAAGGACCTTAGAAGTGTTCCCATTTCCTGATTGTGTTCATATGTTCTTGACTATTTGCATGTTCCTCTTCATCAGCTTTGGCCATAGTTGGAGCCAGAGTCTTCCAGGTACGAAGGGAGTCACATGTTTCCCCTGTCACCTGTGGATAAGCCTGAGAGAAAACGGACAGATGTGGTAGTAGACACATCTACCTTGGCCAGCTATTACTTTCTGCTTTCTGCCAGCAGAGTGGTTAGCTGTTGCTGTGCTCTGGATTCCGGAACCCCTCGATTGTCTCCTGCTTCCCATTCCTTATCACAGCCCCTATTTCAGGGACAAACAGCAATACGTTTGCTAGATCACTTCCTGAGGACAGTAAGTCCCACCCTCCCCTTCGTGCCTGGCTGAGGCCAATTGAAATGTCTGTGCAATGCTGGTTATATTCTTCTCATTCCCAGCATTTAGCCTGGCCTAACTTAGTCACTCATGATTTAGGATAAATGAATGAATCTGCATTCACGAGGGAGAGAGAGAGAACACCAACAGACAGAGTATTGGGCTCAAAAGTCCCAACAATGACATTGAAAAATTTTAGTCTCAGTACCATTGTAGAATATCATATTGAGAACAAGCAAGCAGATTTACTCTTGTTTTCATTAGGTATAATAATAATAATAATAATAATAATAACAAGCAGCAGCAGCAGCAGCAGTAGTAGCCGGCATATGTCTCAGGTTGGGTTCTCCAGAAACCAGATGCCAAGCTGAATTTTGGAGTGCAGGATGTTTATTAGGGATCCTTCCAGTGTGAAAGGAAGGAGGAGAAAGCAGGACAGGGCAGAAGAGGAAGGCCTCCAAATTCTCAGCCAGCCTGGTGGGGAATTCTGAAGTATCAGCCATCCCAGAATCCTGCTTTAGGCTGAAATAGCCAAGCTGCACACTTATGCGTCATGCCTACCCCAGGAAGGGCATGACCTTGAAGGAGGGGCTCTCTGCAGCTGATGGAGGAGTGCCAGTTAGAATGTCTGCTGCCTGTACTCCCTGTAGTCCGACCCTAAGTTCCTCCCTGAAGGGGCTATGGGTGGCCTGTCTCTGTGTTCACCATGGTATATGTTACTGGATTTGATCAAGGCTACAGTTCTATATGCTGGATGCTATTAATCTCCTTACTTATTATATGAAAAAACTATAGGTTAAAGGGGTCATATAACTTGCCTAAGTGGTGGAACCAGAATATATATAACTAGATCTGCCTGACTCCCCATAGCTGGGGTGTTATTGCACTAGATTACATGAACCCGAGGACCGAATATTTATTAGACTCTAAAATACTCAGATTGGGAGAGGGCCATGCACTTCCTTACTGAAGTCAAATTCTGAGACAAACTTTTCAGCAAGGACCCATTATCCTACTACCCTCTATTTCTTATAGCTTTTGCCCACGGAGACACAGAGGGTTAACTAAAGTTGGGGATTGAGGAGAAGAAAAAGACGGTAAAAATAAATATGTCAAAATGAACTTTTAAGACAGACAGTATGTATCCAAAATTCCATCAGAATGACACAGTCCTTAAAAGACTTGTTTCTGTTTATTCTTCATCATTCCAAAAATGCTCATTGAGCACCAACTCTACACCATGTGTCATGTTCTGCATTGGCAATACTATGGAGAACAAAAGGAACAAAACCCTATCCTCACAGATCTTATTTTCCAGTTTGGAAGGTAGATATTAAATAATTACAAGATAGATAATTTTTAAAAATTTTTTATTTATTTATTTGAGAGAGAGAGAGAGAGAGGGTCAGCGCATAAGCAGTGGGGAGGTACAGGACGGGGGGAAGCAGACTTCCCACTGAGAGGGGAGCCCAATGTGGGGTTCCATTCCAGGACCCTGGGATCATGACCTGAGCTGAAGGCAAGCACTTAACTGACTGAGCCATCCAGGTGCCCCCAAGATGGATACATTTTGATTAAGATCTTAAATTTTTACCTGGTCCTGTGAGGCAACACATGGTCTGACCTTATGCATGTCTCTTTTCTCAAATTATTCTCCCGGGTCTTGCCAGCACACCTGGTCATTATACTTAGGGTCTTTACATTTGCTGCTTCTTGACGTTCATTGCCTGATCGTCATTGCTTGATGGATTCTTCTCATCGTCTGGGTCTCAGCTCACATGTCAATGCCTTAGAGAAGCATTCCTTTACCAAACTGTCTGTTGCCCTGCTTTAGATGCTCATTGCTATGCGAAGTTAATTTCTACAGCTTCATGAGAACAGAGGCCCATCTTATTTTATGTACGCTTACATCTCCAACACCTAGAAAAATGCCGGGCGCTCAGTAGGGGCAATACATTCTGAATTACTGAAGGAATGAATGACTTGATTCCATGACAGAGAAGTTCTATAAAGCTATGAGAATCCTTAAAAGGGTCAACTATCAAATTAAGAAGTCAGATAAATCCTGAACATGTTTGTGCATGTGGTCCTTTTCTTTATGTTGACAATGAACTTCTGAAAGGCAGGAAGACTACTTTATATTTCTCGGAATCCTCTTATGCCAGCCCATAACATAACATTTTAAATTCCAAAGGTGCTCCCTAAACCAAAGCTACCCAGCATTCAGAATCTGGAACAGATGCTCTGTAATTTTGAGTTCCTCCATGGTTGAACGTATTATATGTCAACCCAATTTTTTTTTTTAAAGATTTTACTTATTTATTTGACAGAGAGACACAGCAAGAGAGGGAACACAAGCAGGGGGAGTGGGATAGGGAGAAGCAGGCCTCCTGCTGAGCAGGGAGCGGGATGTGGGACTCCATCCCAGGACCCTGGGATCATGACCTGAGCCGAAGGCAGACACCCAACAACTGAGCCAACCAGGTGCCCCCAACCCAATTTTTTAGTTGCATATCTCTGTACTTCTCTTTTCAGTGGACCTCTTGGACTCTTATTCTTCAGTGTATCCCAGAGCTTAAGAGAGTGAATGAATGAATGAATGAATGAATGAGTGGCTTCTAAGACTACCCTTTCCCAGCTTCCATTCGAGGGAGGCCAGCCATCATTATACCATGTACATAGTGTGTAGCATGTAGGGACCGCTTAATAAACACTGAAAGAATGAATTCTACACACGGATGCAGCTTCAAGATTAATTGTGATGCATCTACAATGAAAAGCTCGTGGTGCTACTTTAGTGACAGGTAGGGAACTCTGGGTTCTAGTTTGTTTCTGCTGTGGAGCTATTGAGGAACTCCAAACATCCTCACACCCATCTGCTTCTCAATTTCCCCATCTGTGAAATTATGTGCCTAAGCTGAGGGCTGATCTGTCAAGTCATCTGGATTTCAGTTTTGGTTCTACCATTACTGGCACTTTTAAGCCATGGGAAAATGCAACAACTTTCTGACTTCCAACGTTCTCATCTCTAAAGGGAGAAAAAGAATAGTCCTAATCTTTTAAAGCTGTTGCCAGAAATAGAGTACAAAATTTAAGAGGAT